GCGGCCACTGCGCTCCAGTCTGGGCAACAGAGTGAGACTCCAACTCAAAAAAAAAAAAAGTATTCAGAGCAAAAATGAAAGTCCCCTATTCTCTCATCTTACTCCCCAGCAAAGAGAATTTAGACTTTTAGGAACTTAGGGTTTAAATTGAAAAGTTCTTGGCTAGTCAGAAATCTGTTGTGTCATTTAGCACATTCAATTACTTCTGCATAGCAGGGCTAGCAAGATCATACGTGGCGAAGAGAATCCCATTTTCTGATTTCTGTTATGAGCAGAGCACTGTAATAAGACAGATGTGTGCAAAAGCGACAAGATATGCAAATTCAAAGGAACTGTCTCCCATGTAAATTAACGAGTAATCAGAAAGCTTTTAAAGGAAACTTAAAAAAAATCTGTTTTAGCTTTTTAAATCTTGCAAAGCTCTAAAAATAAAATATTGGCTTCAAGACCCGCCTGGGCAGTGAGACCTCATCTCTACAATAAATCAAAAATCAACCGGGCGTGGTAGCGCATGCCTGTAATTCCGGCTACTCGGAAGGCTGAGGCGGAAGGATCGCCGGAGCCCAGCGGGTCAAGGCTGCGGTGGCCGGGAGCGGCCACTGCACTCCAGTCTGGGCGACGGAGTGAGACTCCAACTCAAAAAAATAATAAATAAATAAATAAAATAAAATATTGACTGGGCGTGGTGGCTCAAGCCTGTCATCCCAGCACTTTGTGAGGCTGAGGCGAGAGGACTGCCTGAGCCCAGGGGTTCCAGACAGCCTGGGCAACTTGGTGAGATCTTGCCTCTACAATAAATCAAAAAAGTAGCCAGGCATGGTGGCGCTTGCCTGTGGTTCCAGCTACTTGGAAGAATGAGGTGGAAGGATGGCCTGAGCGGAGCAGGTCGAGGCTGCGTTTGCCTGTGAGCTTGCCACTGCACTCCATCCTGGGCGATAGTGAGACTGACTCAAAAAAAGAAACCAAATAAAATACTAATCATGTCCCCTTGCTTCCTGATATCACTTAAGCTCTGTATTATTTCCTACAGAGCAGTCTGATGAATATGACGTAGCTTACAGATTCTCTTGCAACCTGAGCCCCAAGCAGGAAGCAAATGAGGCGAGAGGAAGCCAGTGGCCGTAGATTTTTAAAAAATTATCATTGGGTATCATCATTTTTTTGGCAATAATTTCATAACATGATTTTCCCACATAAAGTATACTACTCAGCGATTTGTAGTGTGTTTATAGAGGTGGGTGTCATCCTATACACATTGGAGACGTTCTGATTTCTTTTTTTTTTTTTGAGTCGGAGTCTCACTCTGTCGCCCAGACTGGAGTGCAGTGGCCGCTCCGGGCCACCGCAACCTCAACCTGCCGGGCTCCGGCGATCCTTCCGCCTCAGCCTTCCAAGTAGCTGGAACTACAGGCGCACACTACCACGCCCGGCTAATTTTTTGATTTATTGTGGAGATGAGGTCTCGCCAAGTTGCCCAGGCAGGTCTCGAACCTGCGGGCTCAGGCAATCCACCCACCTTGGCATCCCAAAGGTGCAGGATTACAGGCTGAGCCACCGAGCCCGGTCCTGATTTCTTAGGTCTCGGAATTTCCGTGTTTGTTTTCAAAAACTTTATGATGGGGAATTCCAGAAGCAGACAGAAGAGTATAAGGGCCCAGAGCCCATTCTTCAGCTTTCCCTGGGGGCCAGTCCTCTGTCTTTTCCCTCAGCGACTCCCCCAGGGTTATTTTGAAGCAGATTCCAGACATCATGTGATTTCTTCCATCAATATTTCCATCTGTATCTGTATAAGATGGTTTTTTAAAAAATGACCACAATAATGTTCACATTAAAAAACTCTTTAAGTCCTGGGCATGGTGGCTCACTCCTGTAATCTCAGCACTTTGGGAGGCCAAGGCAAGAGGATTGCCTAAACTCAGGGGTTTGAGACCAGCCTGGGCAACTTGGTGAGCTCTCATCTCTACAATATGTGAAAAAATTAGCCGGGTAGGGTAGTGTGCTCCTGTAGTTCCAGCTATTTGGAAGGCTGAGGCGGAAGGATTGCCTGAGCCCAGCAGGTCGAGGGTGCAGTGACCGCAAGCGTGCCACAGTACTCCAGTCTGGGTGACAGAGTGAGACTCCAACTCAAAAAAAAAAACAACTTTAAGTTATTTAATATTAAATAATCAGTGTTCAAACGTCTAATCACACCTTTAAAAAGGGTTTACTTTTTATTTGTTTTTGTTTGTTTTGTTTTGTTTTGAGTTGGAGTCTCACTCTGTCACCCAGACTGGAGTGCAGTAACATGCTCCCGCCACCGCAGCCTCCAGCCACTGGGCTCTGGCGATCCTTCCGCCTCAGCCTTCCAAGTAGCCGGAATTATAGGCACGTGCTGCCACGCCTGGCTAATTTTTGATTTATTGTAGAGATGAGGTCTCGCCAAGTTGCCCGGATGGGTCTCGAACCCGTGAGCTTAGGCAATCCATTCACCTCGGTCTCCCAAAGTGCTGGGATGACAGGCTGAGCCACCGAGCCCGGCCAAGGGTTTACTTTTTAAACTTGCTTTATTGACTTGCAAGTTAGAGAAAAGTTTGAAGTCATACAAAATATCTGTCCCCTGTATCTTAAGATCAGTTTCAAATAAATCAGTGCTGCTGAAATAAAATCCCACTGACTCCAGCTTACAGACAGAGGGGCTGTCTGACCTTGCCCTAGGCCCAGCAACGGTGTCTTTCTCGGCTCCCTCGGGTGGCTGCTTCACTCACCTGCCTCTGAGTATCCTTGGACTGAGGCTTCCTGCTCACAGGACTCAGGGAACCTGAGCATTCTGTACTGAGGAAACAGAACAGAGGGCTGGATATCGCGGAAGTCCTCTCGCCTTCGTCGGGATGGTGCTCTTAGGGTACAAGTGCTGCCTTCCCTTGGGGGAGGGCCAGGAGGCGGACTTATTGATGGAATCAGCTTCCGCCTAGGCTGCCAATGTATTGCAAAGGATCGGCTTTGGGAGCTAAGCCAATTTGTAGCTTGGGATGAGGTGGCTTGCTTTTGAGAGCACCATTAGACAAGGCAGGGGACTTCTGCTGGCTAAATAACCCATTAACTGTATCTCCCTAAGAAGATACAGTTAGAGTAATAACAGCACAGGAATAACACAGCCATTTAGAGTTTCGTACAGGTCAAATCCCGTTAAAACAAACTTCAGGAGAATGTTGAAATTTCTTATTTGTCTTAAAGCTTTGACTGCAAAGTGTTACCGTGTCATGTTTCAGATTATAGAACTTTTTATGTTTTTCCCCTTCACAGGGAAAAAAAGCACAAAGGCTTTTCAAGGGGTATGTCAGCCCTGTCAGTGTTCTTACTAGCCCTGCACCCGCCCTCCTGATGCCGAGACCGTGGATGTGAACTTGCCATCGCCGGTGGATTCCATCGCGCGAGGCTGCTTCCTGGGCATGTTGGCCTCGTGCTTCCCAGTGTGGGGTGCTCATTATTCATGTGGTCCCAAGTGTAGGAAGCAAAGACCATGCATGAACAAAAGATGGAGTTCATTAGGAACTCACAGAGCCCTCAGGAGAGGGGACCACCAGGGCCCAAGTCCTTGGAGGTGAGGGCGGAGGGGGCTTTCCTGCTTCCCGGCTGGTCTTCCCTGGTTTTTCTCAGTCAAATGATCAGCAAAGGGCTGAAGGCATCTTTGTCGTGTTTTGACTTTTGTAGCTTTCATTGTAACGGGATTTAACCTATAGCATCTTTTCATCAGAGAAATGCAGATTTCACAAATGAAAGTATCATCTATTCCCATTTGTACTTTTCCATACTTTGTACCCAGTGTACTTAACTATTTGTTAAAGATTTTGCTGAATATGTATCCGTGCAAGCATTAAGAGCCTTTTGCAAATAGTTTCATGAACATGGATATTTGTTTTGTGTAACTTTTCTATTGAGTAAGATAAACATGTACTGCTTATACAAAACACGCGTTAAAACGCCTGTGGAATGTTATTTCAGTGTATGGCGGCCGAGCGGTTGCTTTTAACTCTCTAGGTTTTTACACGGTGCTAGAGTAGCTGGTGTTGCTTAATGTGGCGTTTTCTTTCCTGTCCACACCTTTCACCCTTGGTACAGGTATTTTTGATAAAGCTGTGCATTGGAAAGGTATGTTTTTCCCGGGATGTTCAAGAATGTGTTACCTTAAAATTTGTAAGAGGTTTCCTTTATGGGATTCCTTTTGTGTCTGACTTCAGCAGACTTAGTTTTATTGGAACAATGTATTTTTTGAGGCCGTAATTGAGTAGAAGATCTTGACATAACACAAGTTTTGGACTTGACTTTTCCCACTTATGAAGGACAATGTGAAGGATTTTAAAGCCCTTGGGGTGGGGGGAGGCTTTGAAAATATGTGTTCTGTGTTATGAAGAGAGAATGTCGCCTGAGAGATGCTTATGGTCGTTATTGACCTAGCATGTCGTTATTACTAGAATCCTGGTTACCAGTCATTTGCAATTTCATGGAGGAAAGTGATGTAAAAGCATTCCTTAATATAGTAACCTAGATGGTGATTTTAGAACCTTTATTAAATGCGCACATCCTCTTTCTGCAGAGAAGTAATTCAGGCTGAACCAGTGCCCGACTGAGCTGGAAGGTTCGTCTGTGGAAGGGGCAGGGTGCAGGCATGTCTGTGCAGCTTCTGCGCCAGCTTCCCTGGCTGTGGCATGGCACCTCTGCCTGAGTCTGTGCCCACCACGTCTGTCTGCAGGCGTGCTTATGTCCTGCTCCTGCAGGTCGCCTCGGAAGAGCCATATAGCTAAACTGAGGAGCGGCTCGGCCTGCCGGCTGTCTCTAGACCTGATTGGAGCGCGCATTCTGTTGACTTTCCTCTAGCAATGAAATTGTGAAAGGGACACGGGGCGATGTGAGCACGGTTGGGGCTCCAGGTACATCCTCTCTAGGCAGCGAGAGCTTTATGAGGTGTGGGTACTGGTGTGGGAGGCTGTGGTGCCCTCAAAGCTGCCTGGCACATCAGCGGGCCGGGAGCTCCCTAGAGGTCTGAGATGCTGGTAAGCCCTGCCTGTTCTGGTGGTAGCAGAGCTGGTGTCTGCTCAGTGTTCCTCATCTCACCGGAAGTGTTTGCTTTTTCTCATTCATAGAGGTCCTGTAATAAAGAGGGATCCGAACAAGCTCAGAAAGAAACTGAATTTCAAGTAAGTAATTCAGTCCCCCCTGTGTCCGTGTGAGCTGTAACCCAGTGCTGGCCACCCTTGGCCGCTCTGTGGCGTGGCCCGGCCTCTGAACTGCCCTTGGGCTTTTGGTCTGTCTTTCTTGGAGGAAGGGCTCTGGCACGCGGGGAGCCCCCACATGAGGCCCGAGTGAGCAGGGGGCACTCCTGCTGCCCGAGAGTGCAGATGGGGAAGTCTGGTGTCTTCATGGGCTTCTATATGGCATGTGGGGTGCTTAGGCATGGCATCTGGGGACATCTGTGTGGAGTGTGCCTGTGTGGAGGCCCTGGCTGCCACTGCGTCTCCGTGAACCCCTTTTGGCCATCCCTACCCTTCTCATCAGAAAGCAGGGCACGGCCTGCCTGTGTTGCTGGTCTGGCCACTCTCCTCCTCGGGCAGGGGGCAGCGCTTTTTCCTCCACGTGGCATCCAGGTTGGAAAGGCTTCGCTCGACTAGGGTCGTGACTGAAAAGGACCCCGCTCTCTGATGGCTTGAGGCTGAGAGCACTGAGGCAAGAGGCTCAGAAGCGGGGTCTGGGCGGTGGGCCCCCCATCCCAAGGAAGCGCCTCTCGGGCATCTCTCCTGTTAAGCTCAGACTCACAGAAGAGGGGTGCCTATGCGTGCACACGGCGGACATGCCTCTAAGACGTGCGTGCTCGTATACACATCCGGCTCTGTTGACCATATCCCAAGGATGCGGAGGCCAAGACTCGACATCAGAAGGCTGAGGCCACACAGGAGTGATGGTGCTGATGTTTGTCCTCACACCTCGTGGCTTGTTTCACCTGCATCCTGCTCTGGGGACCCCGATCTGGAGAACTTGTGCTCTCTGGGTGACAGTGTCTGAGGAGTCATTAGGTGGGAAGGGAGCGACATTCTGTTTTCAGCTATTCTGAGCCCTTTGTGTAGGACATTTAAGCGTCCTGGGCTGAAAGTATCGAGTCACCAGGGCGTCTGATGCTACATCCAGGGTATGTCTCCAGGCCAGGTTCGGCGGCTCACACCTGGAATCCCAGCACTTTGGGAGGCCAAGGCGGGAGGATCGCCTGAGCCCAGTGGTTCGAGTCCAGCCTGGGCAGCTCGGCGAGACCTTGTCTCTACAGTAAGCCAAAAAATTAGCTGGGCGTGGTGGTGGCATGTGCCTGTGGTTCCAGCTGCTTGGAAGGCTGAGGTGAAATGATCACCTGAGCCCAGCAGATTGAGTGTACAGTGGCTGTGAGCATGCCACTGCACGCCAGCAGGAGCTACAGAGTGAGACTCCAACTCAAAAAAACCACCAAAGTACGTCTTCAGTTCTCATCTTGTTTTATCTTCTGTTTTGAAAGCAGTCCTAAAGGAGAGGCAGTTTCAGTTCTTGTTTTATTTGGCCTTCACAGCAGCATTTGACGTGAAGCCTGCCCTTTTTGACGAGTTTCCTCTCCCGGGTGGCCAAGGCACAGATGAGTGCAGACCTCCAGCCTTCCACCCCGCCTTGGTTTCCCTCAGGCACGTCTCCTGCTGTCTGAGTGCCGGAGCTCCCCACGATTTGGCCCGAGGCCCCTCCTCCTGCTGGCCTCTCTCCCTCGGTCACCCGATTCATGGGCCATGGGCCAGAAGCTCACGGCTCTTTCCTCCTGCCCAGACCCCTGACGGCCCTAAGGCTGTGAGCCAGCAGTCCCTCCCTGGGTGTCTCACCTCGTCCCCTGGGATGGCTTCCCTTCCCCCCACAGCAGCGCCACAGGCTGGGCCTCGCCGCGTTCCTTCTTGGCCTGCTCGACCAGGTCTGGAGACCAGAAGGCAGAGCGTCCTCCCTGGGACCCTGCCCTTCCCCCCGTGCCAGACCGTGGTGCAGGTGCGGTGCAGGGTCAGGCCCTTTGCACTGCCCCTTGGAGCTGCCCATGTCTTCCTAGTCTCGGCCGCCACTGTGTCCCAGCTGGCCTCCCCGTCTGCCTGCTTTCCGCCGAGCCGTTTCCCTTGTCATCACGAGCCGTGTTTTGTTTTGTTTTTTGAGATGACGTCTTACTCTGTTGCGCAGGCTAGAGAGCCTGGTGCCACCGCAGCCTTGGACTCGGCTCCAGCGGCCCTCCTGCTTTGGCCTCCCGAGTCTGCTGGCACTGCAGCCCCCACCTCGCCCCGCCCAGAGACATCTTTTTGAATTGCTGACCTGCTCACATCAGCCTCTTGCTTACACTCCTTCCGGCCGTGCCCCCTGCCTCGGCCAAGAGGAGGGGGCTCTATTCGCGTGGGCTGACCCTGCGGACGCCTCCAGCCTCACCTCACGGCTTCCTCCCTCTCTGCTGGCCAGACCATGGCTGCTCTTGCTGCTGGCTGGCGCCACACCAGCCCCGTTTCCCACCCCAGCACACCTCACGATGAGGATCAGTTGGGACGCCTCTGCGGGGAGCCCTCCCGGCTTTCTAGACGAGGTTGGCGCCTCCATGTTGTGCCTCTGCTTTGCACCTCGTGTGGCTGTAGATGTTCCCCGTCCGACGGCCCGCCTGCCCTCCTGACGTGCCCAGCTCAGAGCAGGCTCCTGCTGTTTCCGGCTGTCATGCGGCACGGCGGGAAGGGTGGCTGAGGGTGTCTGCTGCTGGTGCCCGTGGGTCCCGCCGTCCCATGCCCGACGGGACGCCCCCTCTTGCACATTCCTCTCATCGGCTTGAATGCGCTCGCCTCAGGTGACCCATCCCTGCAGCCGCACCCCAGTTCCTCCTGCAGCGGGTTGGTTGTCAGAGTGGAGGGGCTGGTTTTGTCATTCTGGGCCCCCTTGAGTCGCCAGTCTCGGCCTGCAGACCCTGCTCCTCTGACCACTTCCGCTACCTGGAGCCAGAGCCTCGGCCCAGAGCCCCCCCCCCAGAGGAGGACCTCTTCCCGTTGTTCCCTGGTACCTCAGGGCCACGGAGGGGCTGGTGTCTCCTTGCTCCTCCCTCGTTCCTGCCTCTGACCATTTCTCCTCCGTTGAGGTCCAGTTCCTTTAATGTGTGCGGCTCCGCCTTGTTCCCCCCGATGGCATCGCCCCTTGGTGAAGGTTTTGGGAGGCCCTCGGTCTTTGCGTCTGTGCTGCCCTTGCCATCGTCCTCTGGCCTCTGTGTCTTGGCCTCCTCACCCCGACAGCCTTCTTCGGTTCCGCCCCATCAGCCCTCGGGAATGCACGAGGCCTGATCTCCAGAAACGGTACCCCCCGACATGCCAGTTTCAGCGTCCATCTGCTGCCCTCCTGCTGAGCTTGGCGCTCCGAGCCAGGACTCCGCGACCACCACGGAGACCCCCAGTCCGGCACCTGTGCCGCCTGGCGTTCACCAGCCCTTGCCTCCCGACTCGCCCACGGGGACCTGCTGCTCTTTGTCTTTCTTCCACACACTCCCAGCTGCCTTCCCCCGGCCTCCTGGGGACTCGCCTTGCGCAGCCCACCCTGCGAGGCCACCGCCTGCTCCGTGCTGCACCCAAGTCCCGGGTGGGAACACGGTGCGTCAGGAGGCCCAGTGCTGTCACCGGCTGGTCCTGGGCCTCGGTGGGACCACCTGGAG